TTAAAAATATTTTTAGCTTGTACTTAAAGTATAAATTTTTAAAAAATTTATTAATTAAATGCAGTTTATAACCTTGACAAAGTGAAAAACGAAGACGACAATGTTTTTCAAACTTTGGACTATAATTTTGAATTAAATAAATGGCCATGTTCGCAGCACTTACCTACCATAATTTTGTTTTTTCCACTTTCTATCTCCCGACAACTTTTCCATCCAACCAGTTCAATTGATACAATGATTCATTCTTAAATTTAAATGTTTGAGTTTTATTAGTTAAAAGCTGGCAATACCCCACATATGACCCTTTAATTTTTTGAGTGTATGAAATTTTTTTTTTATAATATGTGATTTTATATATTTTTGATATAATTTAATTTTTTTTAGTATTTAAGTGTGTAGAATTTTATCTCTTATTTTATAATTTTTGAAGGATATGATATCATAAACTTAAATATCATAAAATTATAAAATCATAAATTCAAATATTAAAAAAATATAAAATCACATGTTACAAGATAAAAAATAAAACTTCACGCATTCAAAAAATGAAAGACAATATGTGAGTTTTTGGCTCGATTCTTAAAAAATTCCACTCATTTCGCTAATTAATTTCTCAATTAAAAAAAGAAAAGAAAAGAAAAATACAACTTCCCCATCATCTCTCTCCCAAGTTTCGGGAAACGTTATACAATTCTTTTAACCCTATTTTATTTTATTTTTTTAATTCCTTTTTAGGCAGGAAGGAACATATCAATTAAATAACGAATTTTCGACCTGGACCTTTGACAAGTGTTAGGCGGTGATGTCATATGTCATCGAATCCATTTTAAATTATTTATAAATTATAATTCTATTTATTTATTTATACAACACGTGAACTAATTACTACCGTTATGTTAATTTTATCCAAAACCAACACTTTGCAGGCACTAACTGTGTTGTTTAAGGTGTAGTTTTATTAAGATTAAAATCTTCATTTTAATTTTTGTAGGATAACTTTTCGTTTTTAAAATTTTCTATATTAAAAAAAAATAAAATTACTTTTAAAACTACTAAGTTTCATAAATCAATTGTGAAATATATTTAGGGTCTGTTTAGATAAGCTCCTAAAAGTTTTAGTTTTTGAACACTATTTATATTTTATGAATTTAAATTTTTCTCTTAAAAATTTACATTTTTAAACATTTTTTTAACCTTAAAAAACTCTTAAATAGTAAAAGTTCAAAAGTTTTAAATCTAAACATTTCATAAATTCCCTTTTACTCACTTTTTACTCATTTTTTTATATTTCTAAAAGCAAAAACTCTATTTTCTCTCAAATCAAAATTTAAACTTATTACCCATAACAGTACTCAAAAAGCAAAACCTCTCATAAGTCACACCAAACAGGCTCTTAATATTTTGATAATAACTAATATTTGAGGTATAACAATGCTATACTATTTCTCATCTCCTACCTCTAAATTATACTTATTTTTTTTAAAAAAAAAAACTACTTTCGAAAAGGATTAGGAGGTGTTTTTTTGAACAGTGCTTGAAAAAAGTATTAGGAGGAATTGAGTTGACTAAAGAAAAATGATTGCATATAAGCCATGAGCCCTTACAAACTCTTGTTCATTCAAACCCTTTTTCTTCATTTTAATTTACGTTTTGATTCAATCCTATATCGTTTCGATTCGTTATAATTAACAAAAGTTGATCAATTATTGGAAAAAAAAGTGTTAAAAAATCAAGGATTCCCAAGAAGAAGAAGATGGAATGAAAAACTGAATCTCTCATTAAACTGAAAATAATCCAGCCTTTAAATAGGCTTTATAAGATAATATTATCTAAAAAGATAACTAACCAATCTTATCTAATCTAATTTAAATGATAACAACCTAAAACAAATAAATAACTTAAACTTCATAAAATATAGAGATAATGGCTAAATAATAGGATTTAATTTCCAACAATCCCTCCCTTAAACTGAAAGTCTTCAAACTTTAGTTTAAAGAAATTTGGATAACACCATATCTGCAGATCTGCAGATCTGGAATCTGCAGACTCTCCCTCAAACTGAATTCTGCATGCTGCAAACACCAAGTAACTCTCTTAGTTTTGAAAAAGCTGCTACTTTGAGGGGTTTCGTGAATATATCAACCACTTGATCTTCTGTTCTACAATAAATCAACTCAATTGTTCCATCTTCTACCAAGTTGCACAAGAAATGATACCTCACATGTATATGCTTGCTTCTCCCATGCAAAATTGGATTTTTAGAAAGCTTGATAGCTGAACTATTATCACAATAAATTGAAGTGGCCTCATGTTGATTCAGCTTAAGTTCTTCCATAATTCTTCTCAACCAAATAGCTTGACAAGCACAAGAGGTTGCTGCCACATACTCCGCTTCTGTTGTGGACAAAGTCACAATGGGCTGCTTCTTTGAAGACCATGAAATTGCACTAGATCCCAGCATAAAAACAAACCCAGAAGTGCTTTTTCTGTCATCCAGATCTCCAGCATAATCACTGTTTGTAAAGCCTGCGAGATCTGTCTGGTCACCCTTCTTGTAGAATAGTCCAAAATCTACAGTTCCACATAAATACCTAAGAATTTTTTTAGCAGTCTGCAAGTGCAACTCCTTTGGATGCTCCATATATCTGCTAATCAGACTTACACCATGCATTATATCTGGTCTTGTTGCTGTCAGATACTTCAGACTTCCAACAATCTACTTGTACAGTTTGCTGTCCACAGATCTGCCTCCTGGATCTTTCATGAGTTTTACACCTTTATCAACTGGTGTAGTGACAGAATTGTAGTTCTTCATTTGAAATCTGTCCAGAACGTCCTGCACATATTTTTTCTGACAAATAAAGATTCCAGAATCTGACTGTACTACTTCCAAACCAAGAAAATAATGCAACAAACCCAGATCTGTCATATCAAATTCCAGCTTCATGGACTGCTTGAACTTTTCCAACATGCCAAAATCATTCCTAGTATAAATTAAATCATCAACATATAAGCACACTATAATCCAATTTACCTCCATCTCTAAATTTGATGTAAAGTGTATGCTCATAAGGGCACTTTTGAAAACCTTCCTTCAAAAAATAAGCATCAATTCGACTATACCAAGCTCTAGGTGCTTGTTTTAGTCCATATAATGCTTTCTTCAATCTGTAAACCTTATGCTCAAAACTAGATTTCACATAACCAGGAGGTTGATCAATAAATACTTGTTCTTGCAGACTTCCATGCAAGAAGGTAGATTTCACATCAAGCTGATAGATCGGCCATGAGTTTTGTGTTGCCAATGCAATCACCAATTTGATGGTATCCATCCTTGCAACTGGAGCAAAAACTTCTTGATAATCAATGCCAAACTCTTACTTGTAACCCTTTGCCACCAAGCGAGCTTTGAATTTGTCAACCGCCCTATTCTTTTTGAGCTTTGTCTTGTAGATCCACTTAACACCAATTGTTTTGTGCCCTTCTGGAAGATCTGTCAACTCCCAAGTTTGGTTCCTTTCAATAGAACCAATTTCTTCTGCCATGGCTTTTTGCCACTTTTCTTCTTTAACAGCTTCTTCATATGTCAATGGATCACAATCTACAAATAGAGCAAAATGATTAATTGGATCATCTTAAGGTAGATCTGTTACCTCATAATCTTCCAACCATGCTAGTTTTCTCTTTTTGCGTTGAGGTCTGGAACTAGTTCCAGATTCCAGTTCTGGTGTTGTTGGCAGACTTCCTCCAGTACTGAGCTCTACTTTTGTAGGTAGACTTTCTTCAGCTGTCTGTCTTAAAACCTCAAGATCTGTTGAAGTTTGACCTTCTAAGTTCTGCACAGTCAGATCTTCTTCATTTTCGAAATCTGTAGGAATCTGTTGTCCAGATTTTTCTGTCCAAAACCAAGTGCTTGCTTCATCAAACACTACATCACGGCTAATGATGACCTTTTTAGTTAAAGGATTGTATAATCTGTAAGCTTTGGACTAATCACGAACACCAAGGAAAATACACTTTTCCCTTTTGTCATCAAGCTTACTCCTTTTCTGATCTGGCACATGTGCATTTGCTATGCACCCAAAAATTCTGAAGTAATCAACAGCAGGTCTACGTCCACTTTAAGCCTCTTCTGGCGTCAAATCTAGAAGTGGAGATGTGGGACTTTTGTTTTAAGATATGAACACTCCAATTAACAGCTTCTGGCCAAAATTCCTTAGGCAAGCTGCTCTTTGACATCAGACTTCGCACCATATTCATGATTGTGCGATTCCTCCTCTCACATACACCATTTTGCTGAGGTGTATAGGCCACTCTGAGTTGCCTTTTAATGCCATTGGACTCACAAAAATCTCCAAATTCCTTTGAATTAAACTCACCACCACGATCTGTACGCAGAACCTTTACAGATCTGCCAACCTCATTCTCAACCAGGACTTTGAAATTTTTAAAGGTTGTTAAGGCTTCTGACTTGGTCTGCAAAAAATACACCCATGTTTTGCGACTGTAATCATCAACAAAGGTCATAAAGTATTGTTTACCTCCATTAGATGTTGGATTTATGGCTCCACACAAATTAGAATGAACCAGATCTAGCACTTGCTTTGCTCTCCAAGATCTGTCTTTAGGAATGCTGTCATGGTGCTGTTTACTGACCACGCAGATTTCACAAATTTCTAAAGGAGAATCAAAATGAGGAAGACCATTTACCATCTTCTTCTGTTGCAAAGCTTTCAACCCACCAAAATAAAGTGGTCCAAATCGGCAATGCCATAACCAAGCTGTGTCCTTTAATCTAACAGATAAACATGACAGATTTGTGGTCTACAACTATAATGGAAACAACCTATTTCCTGTCATCTTGACCTTTGCAATCAGGCCAAATTTTGAATCACGAATTTGGCAAACTCCATCTTTAATAAGGATTTCATATCCTTTTTCCTGAAACTATCCCAAACTAAGCAGATTTGACTTCAAATTTGGTACATACAGAACATTAGAAATAGTCTAAATTGAATTGTCTTTGGCACGAATGGTTACCTTTCCCCTTCCCTTGACTGCAATATTGGAATTATCACCAAATTTCACCTTGTCTTGACAAGACTCATCCAAATATGAAAACGCAGATTTGTCTCCACATATGTGATTGTTGCAACCAGTATCCAGATACCACACATTCTTCTTGCTGACTTCTTTAGGATGGCAGACCATGAATAGAGAGAAATCATCATTCTTCTTGTTGTGTTCTGCAAAATTGGAACTTTCTCCTCTATTCAGATTAGCACGACACTCAGAACGATAATGGCCATACTTATGACATCTGAAGCATTCAATATTTGCCTTTCCTGCAGGTTTGGATCTGTTATCTGCAGCTTGATAATTTCTGTTCTGCCACCTCTTCTGAATTCCAATGGCTGAATTTTCCTCCAATCTGTTAGATCTCGGTCTGCCAGATCTTGGTCTGCCTTTCCAGTTTTCTTTTCCTCGACCTACAGCCCTTGAATTAACTGTGATCTACAAGGCTTGTGCTTGCAAAATCTGCACTGCTTGCTCTTACTTGTCTTGGCTATTTATCTTCTGCTCATGAACTAACAATGAGTTCTGCAACTCATCAAGGGAAAAGTCTCAATATTATTTGACTCCTCAATTGAGAAAACAACATAATTGAATTTTGTTGTCATAGACCGAAGGATTTTCTCAACTATGGCAACATTCTCCAGATTTTCACCATGGATCCTCATCTTGTTTGTAATAGCCGTCGTCCTTGCAAAATAATCATCTACAGATTCACCAATCTGCATCTGCAGAACTTCAAATTCTGCCCACAAAGCCTGGCGCTTTTGCCGCCTTGCACTTTCATTCCCCTGGTACTTCTTCTTCATAGAATCCCAAATATTCTTGGAAGTAGACTTGTTAAGAATTGTTTCCAAGATAGCCCGATCTATGGCTTGGAACAAATAGTTCTTAGCCTTGAGATCCTTCAATTTTTCCTTCTCAATTTTTGCCTTCTGTGCATCATTTGCACCTACCACTGGTTTTAGAACTCTAGCTTCAACAACAATCCAATACTCTTTGGACCGGAGAAAATTCTCCATCAAAACGAGGGATTGAGGGCTGGACATAATTTTCGAAAGCCATGGAATTTTTTGAGAATTGGCTTTGATACCAAATGTTAAAAAATCAAGGATTCCCAAGAAGAAAAAGATGGAATGAAAAACTAAATTTTTCATTAAATTGAAAATAATCTAGCCTTTAAATAGGTTTTACAAGATAATATTATCTAAAAAGATAACTAATCAATTTTATCTAATCTAATTTAAATAATAACAACTTAAAATAAATAAATAACTTAAATTTCCTAAAATATAGAGATAATGGCTAAATAATAAGATCTAATTTACAACAAAACCTCCGTTAAATTGAAGTAGTTAATGCAGAAATAGAATCTGTTTTCTTTCATGGGAATGATCTTGATTCTCGACCAGCTGCAACAACTTCTGATCAATATCACCGGAGTTCGAGTTATAGCAGCCTATTTTTGACTGAGAGTTGGGGTGATTTACCGTTGAAGATTGATGATTCCGAGGACATGGTGGTGTATGGCGCGCTACGCGATGCTCTCAGTTTTGGATGGATCGACTCCGACACCGACACCGACTAATGGCCTCGGTTTGACAGGAGTATTGCCAGCCGTCCAAACGGAGTCTCGGGAAGTGAAAGCACAAGTCACGGAGGAGCGAGACGACCGCGCGTCGCAAATGGCGGTGCATTATAAGGGAGTGAGGAGGAGGCCGTGGGGGAAGTACGCGGCTGAGATCAGGGATCCTAAGAGGAACGGGGCC